CATCCATCCATCCATCCATCCATCCATCCATCCATCCATCCATCCATCCATCCATCCATTATTATTATTATTATTATTGTTTTTATGGACAGTGCTACGCTATTCGTGGAACAAGAGATGCACGCGTCGCTTCTGTTCAGGAATCCTTATTAACATCGCTCGGCCTCCAAGGGAATGAAAACCTCGACCCTAACGAAGTGCTGGAGAAGGTTCTGGAAAATGCGTTAAAGCACTCTCGGGTAATTCAAAAAGTTGTCAGCTAGAACTAATGTGTATACTAAACCTTTTAGAACTTAATCAACTATTACGATTTTTTGTAGGATACTGATTGCAAAGCGTTTTGTGGAAAAACAGTAATTGTGACCTCGCTAGATAGCTCGGAGTCAGGAGAAATTATATTTGACCTTAAGGAGGACGAAACTTTAACCTGTATCCTTAAAAACAAAAAAACAAAAAACATGAATCTGGTATTTTAAAATGATCACCGTAAAAGTATTTTAAAAATTTAGTCTTAACTCGCTATAGCCAAATTCATGATTAATGTAGCCGCTAGCACGAGAGCGAGGGATCGTATTTCTATTCGAGACCTCGTGAACGAAAGGCTGAAGGAGTCTGATCCGGTGGAGTTCGAAGACTGGGACGATGCGTGGAAGTCAAAATACTCTGAAGCATCCCAAGGTAAGACGATGGACAAAAGTGATGAATAATTACGAATAATAGTTACGAATAATGTCCAATACCAAGTAGTATATTTCTAACGCAAATGTGTTATGTCTCATTGTTGCGGATACAAAGTCCCTGATGTACATGCTCGGCAAAAACAAAATAATAGTATAGCTCTTAATCACATAAATCTCCAAAAACACAATGTTGCACCTTTGGAACGAACCTTAAAAGTGGCATCCAACGACGTATAATTGTTCGGTGCTCTATCTATTTCTTTATTTTTTTTATTCTACAGACGGCAGCAATCAGGCCCCAGTGCAAAGACTTACCATAAATGGTCAGAATCGCCTGATGTTCTCATCATAGCTTTGCAGAGAAATAGTGAAGATCAAGGGGTTAAGGTGGGGTTAAAATCAGTTAATTACTGTTTATAATAGTTGTGTTATTTGTTCTTAAAAAAGCTTTTTTTATCTCATTATTTATTTTCTCGCGGCATACAAAATATAGTGTACTAGATTGCAAAAGTAATTAACTGCAAATACCTCGTATGACGGTAGTGATCGGGAAAGGTTGGAGAAAACATTCATCTATCATTATTTTTTACTGTTTTTTTTTTTTCTAATACACTGTCAGCCTTCAAACCTCATTCAGCTTAACTTATTGGTTACTGAATATTTAGTTATTTCACTTTTTTCGTTACAGAACAATAAAGTGGTAGACATCCCTAAAACCATCCCTGAAGCCGATCTTTTGCGTCCAGAGAATGAAACCTTACATGGCATAGAGGATTACCAAATAAGCTATTTCTTGTTTGGCATTATCATTCATTCTGAACAAAGAGACCACGTATATTCGATTGTGAAGAACATCCAAACGGAAAACAAATGGTATATATGACAAGAAATGAAGTCTGTTCAATACTCTACTCATGCATGATCAGTCGTTACCTGTAAATCATGAAACAAATCGGTGTGCTAAGTATCTGTGTTTCATAACATGGTTTAGGACTGTCTACGATGGACTGGTGGTGAAAAGCTTTGAAATGACCGATAGCCTTTTGGAAAGCCTTTCTGGAGGTGGAAGAAACGACTCTTTTGGTATCCTTTTCAGATATTTCTGTACGAATTAGCGTTTTTTTWAATTTGGCCATGACCAATGGCCATGTTTGAACCAATATAAATCTTGGAAACGCTATTGTTAATAAAGAAAATATAAAGATTTTAAAGTTCAATTAATACTATCTGGCGGTTTTCGATATATGCATGCACTCACTCAGTCCAAAAACAGGGATGTTAGTTAAAGAAATTGATTTTAAAAACCAATAGAAGGAGAAACTCTTTTAAACTTCCAGGCTAACAAATATGAAAACAACAGAACTCACTGGGCGAAATGCCTTATAAAGTTTGACTTCTGATGACCTTTTTTCTTTAATATGACGCTAGTAACCCTGGTATACATAAAAAGCTGGGATGTAATTCAGGAGCCAACCAGTCCCGATGCTAACGGACGAAAGAATATACTGGAAAGGTAAATATGAATACCAAAATATTTTGCTATTATTAGTTAGCATATACCAACTTGTGAACTTCCTAAGAACGCGCGTCCTCATTGGTTAATTGGAGGTGAATATTGTACGATATTCACCTCTGAATCTCGGAATATTGAGTCGGCAACAAAATGGCACTTGCTGGCAATCGTTTTGCTACGATTTCCGATGAGGAAATTGAAAAAATGAGAGTAAATGCCATTCCTATTAGTGCTGAAAAGGCAACGAAGTATGGCCTAAACGTTTTTCAAGGTCCTTTTAAAAATTATGTAAAATAAGAAAACAAAGGTGATAAGATTTTCGTTTCTTCGTTCGTTTTTATTGAATTATTGCATATAAAAAATAAGTTACTCTGTACACAAGTTGGAATATGCTAAAACAATTATTCGCCTCAGGCTCAGTGGATATGGTAAATACTTACCTCGCCTTGAAATATTCACCGATATTCACTTCGCCTTCGGCAAATAATTGTTAATTATTGTTGATATTGTCTACCCACTTTCTTCGGCAGCCAAATGCTGGAGTAGAACGTTTTTTTCTAACAATTTAATTGAATTTTTTCCAAAACCATCGGTGGATTAGTGTTGGGTCAGATAACGACTGTGTAATTATCGAAGAAAGAGGTAAACACATTACGATCCTCCGTTTCAGCTGAATCTAATAGTGATATATTGATAGAGACTTTTGCAAATGCATTGCTATTGTAGTACGTCACGAGGAAATCCTCCACAACATGGAAAAAGCCATGTCAGAGTTCGTTGGTCTGACCAACCTGAAAGAACAGTTCATGCGGTTCACCAAGACCCAGCTGCAGAATGACAGAAGGCGCATGCTGGGCCACAACGTTGTAGAAAACACGCCCTTACATTTGGTATTTGCTGGAAACCCAGGCACAGGCAAAACCACTTTCGCAAGACGTAAAAATCGAGAAATATCCCGCAAAAGAACAGGCTAATACAGGGGGATCCAGAAATTCGCAAGGGGGGTGTCCAAAATGACGGCAACAATAATCCTAATTTTAGTGACTTATTTTGTACCTACATTTTTGGGGGTGTCCGGTGCGCCTATGCACACCACCTGGATCCCCCCTCAAACATTTCTTTACTAGATTAACTATACATCTTGGTTTTACCTAATTAAAAATTAAAGGGGAAAAAAAAGAAGAAGAAAAAAAA